CTGGTTGATCCACTCTGAGATGGTGCTATTTACGAGACTGAGCTGAAAACAGCTCCTCAGACTGAGGAAGTCTCTCGGATGAGAGACGAAACGTTTCTACATTTTTTGTTGATTTGCTTTGTTTTGGTTTTTTTTTTGAATGTCCAGAGGACCAGATTTAACTTTTTTAGATTTTTCTACCTGGATTATTGAGCATGCATCAGGATAGGGAAAAATTAAGTTAGGGACTTAACAGGTTTTTTTTTTTTTTAACCATCAGAAAGTTGGAAGTTCAGCAGATGTACTGCTGACATCATACTTTTTCTGGTCTTTGTTTGGCTTCAAGTTGAGCATCTTCTGCAGGGCCGCATAGATATCTTTGATACAGAACAGGACCAAAGCGTTGAACACTGCAGAGATTAAAATTATATACACATATGTTAAAACGTTTAGAGAATTAACAAAAAGCACAGTGTAGCATGGTATAAAACATGTCTTTAGGGTTTATTCCTAGACTGAAAATAGAATAGAAAACAGCCTTTATTGTCCCACAGATGGGAAATTCAAGTGTAACAGCAGCAACAGATAAAAAGATGAAAAGATTTCACACAAAAGTTCCTAAATGATAAAATAATATATCAAGAAATAAGATGAACAATATCAATAATAATGTTCAATATGTGTGGGAACATTGAGAATGGCAGACCATTTACAATAGAGTATTATAGGCAGTGTGTGTGTTTTAGCAGAGGTCAGCATGTATTTAATCCTTATTGAGTTTGTTGGAAGCAGTGATGGTTGTAGAGTCTAACAGCTGCTGGGAGGAAGGACCTGTGGTAACGCTCCTTTGTGCATTTAGGATGCAGTAATCTGTCACTGATCGAGCTGTCCAGTTCAGCAACAGCTTCATGCATGGGGTGGGAGACGTCCAGCATTGATGTTATTTTAACTAGAGTCCTTCTGTCTCCCACCACCTGCACTGGGTCAAGGGGGCATCCAAGCACCGAGCTCTCATTACATTCTCATACAGCTGCTGTTCACAAAACCCACTAGATATAGAAAAATAATCTAATTAAAGAGAAAATAAGGAATATTAAAAATGTTACAAAAGTTAAGGTGTACCACAAAACTTTAGTGCTTACAGAAGAGCTAAGTGCAAATAACCTTTAAAAGAGACATTAGACCCTAAAGTGTTTAACACAAGAGCTACACAAACTTGAAATAGGAATAAAAAAAACAGTGTTAACTTCCTCCAGCTATAGATAGAAGAACATGTTCAAAGTACAAGAGAGGAAATGAATCCTCTCAGATTTTCAACAACCAGAGCTGGAGGAAAACTCAGTGAATGTTTACAGGAGCCAAGCTGAAATTAGAAGTCATGAGTATTGACCCAACGTACAAGTTGCTCTGCAGGTTAAAACACAAAAATAAAATAATGTTTCCAACACCTTGGACCATGCCTCCAGTCTCACTTAATTACAAATGTTTTGTTCCATTTTAAAACAAGCAGTTCAGGCAAACCTCACTGATAATGCAACATAGCACACTGGTAATAAAATAAAAAAACCTCAGTTATTCAGGGGTCGACACCAGTGATTTCCATTAGTCTGAGACAACCTATTTTCGTTTCGGACAACCAGATCTTGCTTTGAGGTTGTCTGGTGGACAGTCAAGTGAAACAGACAAAGTTCTCCATCACCGCGACATATTTCAGTCATCCGTACAAATGGAAGGGGGAAAAAACTTTTTTTTGGTACTCTTTTTAAACCCATCCAATCCAGTGATGATACTGGGATTAAACTGACACTTCTTTCAACAAATATCAGGAAGCAGAGCCACAGTTTAACCAGTCAGAGCAGAGCTGGTCGTCCTGTCTGATACACGGCAGGTGTGCGCAGTGTTCCCAGTTTAGAGCCAGACTGCAGGTGAGAGCACCAACCAGTGTTTCCTGCACTATTTTCCAAGGAGGACACCCTGCTACCCTAACTAAAGATGATGACATGTAATAACTTATTAAATATCTGCATATTAAGCATATGTGTTTGTACGTGACCCAACACACTGCAGCCGGGGGAAATACCAGAACTAAAACACCATTAGCCCCACCCAGTCCTCCATTGCCGCACCATTCCCGGGAGTTTTGTATCTAACTTTGTATCAAACATTAATGAGCTTGAAGCGTCGTCGTCATCACAGATCAGTGCAACTTAATGATGTTGGTCTTGACGGTGCAGGTTAAAGACTTCTTACAATGGCAAAGACTTTGTTTCTGCTTTAATCTCTGCCTTAAATACGCTGCGAGTGCCTCTCTTCCAAAGTCTAATGAGGAGGAAGAGAACGAAGAAGTTCCATTCGATCAGCTCCTCAAACAGTCCACCACTCGGTAGCTTGGACATTGCAAGGCAGTCCACAAGATGGCTGACTGAGAACATCTGTATACAGTATAGTGCAATATACTTATTAAATTATATTTTTCTTTTGACTTTTTGCCTTTTTTCTTGTCAAGGTTGTAGACAACTAAAAATGTTAGTGGATAACCAGATTCTGTTAAGAGGTCGTCTGCTGGAAAACCTGGAAAAGGTCCTTACGTCTACCCTCGGTTATTAGTTTCTCCAGAATTTAAACCTTAATATTAAAACAAGGTGAAACCATTTTGTCAAAAAACACAACAAAAGACAGGGAACATTGAGAAATACTCCTGAATACTAATAAAGAAATTACAATAAAAAACATTCCAAACAAAGCTCATAATGTATGATTTTTAAACAGTCGTCTTAAGTATTGACGTTGTCCTTCACGGTTTATTACACGTTTGAATACACAGTTATTTCCTCTTTTTCTCATCAAATATAAAGAAATGAAGAGCGGCTTATGACTTCTGGCCATGGTCTAGTTTCTTGCTCACAAACATCACTGAATGTGCAGTTTGGCAGGTAAACTTATGCAATGAATTACATTATTATTACAGACCTTTGGAAACTTGATTTTTTTAAATGATTTTCTCCCCTAACAAGATCAGCCCCTGGTGTTATAATTAGTTTTAATGGTTCAGTAGGTGGAATTGTTCTCAGCAAACCTGCTACAATATCTTCTACATTGTGTGGAAATTACACTTTCTGAAAACACAAGACGTAAGTGACAGGAAGATTAGTCAGAAACGGGTGTTAACTCTGTCAAACAAATCTGGATAATGCTATATTCCCTCTAGCTGTGCATGCATGGCATGTGCGACGGCTGTTCTTGGATTACTTATTGGGGAGTGGTGGCGCAGAGGTTAGAGAGGTGGGCCTGTGATCCGAAGATCGCCGGTTCACGCCCCGGCCCTGACAACATCAAAATTGTGGGTGGGGTAGGTGAAACGCCCACACTTGCCCCCACCCTCATTCGCCCCACCCTGGGCCCATGAGCAAGGCCCTTAACCCCTACCATGTGCTCCCTAAACAGGTCTCTTGAAAATGAGTTCTCGTGGCTCAATGAGACTACCTGGATAAATAAAGGCTAAAAAAAATTGCTGATGTTAATTTGCCGTCATGACTTGTGGGGCACAAAAACAATGCTGCAATCAATAACATAGACTACAGTACTTGTATAACTCCTAACCTAGAATGAGTCTTGTTCAGAGGGTGAAATGAAAACTTCATTTGGACAAAATACAGCAAACTCTGTTCACCTGAAATAATTTCTTACTCCCAACTACTGTATATCCATCCATCCATACATACATCATCTTTACCTGCTTCTTCCTTTTCAGGTCACGGGGTCACTGGTGCCCATATCCAGCAGTCACTGTGCGAGAGGCGGGAGACACCCTGGACAGGTCTCCAGTCCATCACAGGGACACTTAAGAGATAAACGACCATTCACTCTCTCACTCACACCCAGGGACAATTTAGAGTTACCAATCAGCCTCACATGCATGTTTTTGGTCTGTGGGAGGAAACTGGAGTACCCAGCGGGGAAAATCCATGCATGCACGGAAAGAACATGCAAACTCCACCCAGAAAGGCCCCTGGCTGGGATTTGATCCGGCGACCTGCTTGATGAGGCAGCAGGTCTAACAACTGTGCCACCCAATTACTGTATATAAAAAAAGACACAATTCAACAAACTAGTTAGATGATGACTTACCTGAACTGTCAGCCACTTTGTAACGACACTGACTGTCTCCTTCACCCTTCGTCGTGGCGAGAGCAGCCTTAAAAGCCTGAGTGACCTCTCTGAAGAGACGAGGTGTGGGATCTTTCTTCATAGCTGCTTTCCAGTCTTCAATCATTTTGTCTGTGACTTTGATTGTGTCAGCCGCCATCTTGGACTTCTCTGAATCTTTCTTACCCTTTTCCTCATCCTCCTCTTCAGAGTTGGCTTCCTACATGCAAAACATCACATGCCGTTTGAATATTTCCATTTTCTAACGCCATCATTATAAACACACTCAAGGACAGACTTACCTCCAGTACAGATGGGAGTGTATGGTACATTTCCTCATCCTCATCCTCAGAGGTGTCTGTGTCATCAAAATTTAGGAGTGTCTGGTCGTTCTCTTCGAGAAACTTGTAAAACTCTGGATCTTTGCTCTTTAACCTGGACAGCTGCTCCTTGTGTTGAAAGGCTTTACCCTTCTTTACATTTCTACACAAAATATGGTGTTTCAAAAAGAATCAAATTCATCAGTGACAAGTTTGCTCTTAACATATGATATGCAGTGTGCAAATTATCCTAGGGCACAGAGCTTACATTTTAGGTTTACCGTCTTTTTTAGCCTTTTTAGGAGATTCTTCTTTGGGTTCATCTTCATTTGGGGACTCAAAACCTGACAACAGGAACTCGTCCATACTCATGTCCTCCAGTTTTCTACAACGTTCAGAAGACAAGCTAGTACACGTGTGGACAACATGTAGTACAGTGTAGACGATGCAACATAAGTTGTTGCTGAATGTCTACTTCCCATAGAGTTGTAAATGTTTTTCAAACCACGAGTAAATGGCTTCTTACAGAGATAAAAACGAGCTTACAGTATAAATAACATTAGCGTTAGCCCTCAAGCTAAGTTAGCTAACACAATCACACTACCACCGTAGAAACGTTTAGACTAAACTCGCGAATCTCACAGTTAAGACTGAAAGCAACTAAAATGTTGCTATTGACAATTAATAAAAGTGAAATCTCTTTATACACGCCAGACTAAAAAGAAAAATTTAACATACCTTTTCTGTTTCGCTGCCATGCTGCATCCACGACGTGACACCAAACCACAATACCCAAAATCCTCTGGTGCGACACGCTGAAAAAATTGGTTTTATGTTTCACGGCGTTACGTGTCACTGGTGTAACCTACTCATTCATCCATTCAGTTTTGTTTTTTCATAAATAAATAAAAAGTAATTTTCAGAATTAAAAAAACATCATATACTGTATTGAAAAATTGTATATCCACTTAACTAACAAGTAACACTGTCAAAACGGATGAGGGGAGCGTTCATACCAACCTTTAAATTTCCCAGCCGGAGACCCAGAAGCAAAGCAGGGTTATGATGCCGCACGTGAGGTTTAAATTAAATAATTAGCTGAGTTCACGAGACACACAAAACTGGGGGTCTGAAGAGGATTAGTTTTGCTTTTTGTTTTTTATTTGTTACTGTATACAACCACAATCCTGGGCAAGATTGCAAACCGAAAGAAATCACCGTTGTCACAACGACACCGACGACGGCTGCGGGTAAGAACTGTCTGCGTCTGGCTTCTTGTCAAACTGAGCCAAGCTCGCTTTGCTAGCTAACACGGAAACAATAAACCTTAACAAGAATAATGCTGATCGGCATAATATTTGTGCTTAATATAATGACATAAATATGGGCTTATTTACTACCCACATTTTTAAATGGTCTCTGAAATAAGTTTATGTAGATTTGGTTTTAACTTCAGGCTTAACGAACTGCGTTATGCCCGAAGTTACGTTGTACCCCGCCTTCCGCGAGAGGATGGGAGTAAATATCGAACGCACTTCCGTACTCAGTCCAAACAAAAGGTGGCTTTTAAGGCCGTTTGTGTCTCTTTGATACCAAGAGAACATTTATTGAGATGTTTAGCACTTGCATCACTTAAAATAATTTGTTTGATATTTCTTTACATTTATAGCTTCATATTTTAACTGGCACAGCGGAATAATGTATTTTTGAAGATCGCATTTTCGGCTGTTAAATCGCCACCTTAACAAACTGAAGTCAGCTTTTCATGCGTTTTTTTTCTTCTTCTTCTCTGACGTCAGAAGCTCAAAACGGCACAAAATAGAAGCTTTCTTCATATTTCCTTCCTATACTGTAGTCAGATTATGGATGAACAGCCAGATGATGTACCAACCTTAAAACAGTCTGACTGCGACAGCTGTTAATTTATTTCCCATCACCTCAAGGAGGACACGGTGTGCAAAGGATAACCGCAACAGACGTCCACCGGTAATGATATTACACATTCATTCTTTGCTGCTGCAGCTGATGATAGGTGCTGTTATTTATCATAGGTGTTACGGGGCTGGGGTTTTCTCAGTTCATTAAAGGACTATAATATGTTCATTAAAAATACTAAATATTCAAAAGCCAGCAGTTGTGCTTTCCATCAGTTCTCCTCTATTCTGTTAGAGGCTGTGTGAAAATACAGGTGCAGAGCAAAAAGGATAAGTGATTTAGTTTAACTATAAATCTGTCTCAACCTCTTTTTTTATGTTTCTGTGTCTAGCATTATTCCCAGAGGATTAAGAGGGGATTGTTCCCTTACAGAGCACGGTTGGTGTGTTTTTATGGTTCATTGTGTTTTGGAAAATTATACCCACCCAGAGCTGGTCACTAGGCAGCTGTGATGACATTTGAGATGGTGCTCAGTGGGATAGTAGATGGCGAGTAACGAAGAGAGCCACAGAACAATTGGCAGAAATTGTTCAGACACAGAAACTCTTAAGGATTTAGTGAATTAAGAAATAAGGCTTTATCTGGATTATAACGTATTTTAAGTTTTGATATTGTGTCGTACATTTTGGACCTCAGATGAGTCCATAGTCTTTCAAAAAGAGGCTTGCAAATTGGAATTGATCATCCTGGATTGCATTTTATTTAATGCTATTTTCATTATTCATTCTGGCAAACACGTAAATGAATTTGGTGTGAAAATTATGAATCATTACAAGACTTTACAACACTTAACTGAGGAGCCGAGCCACACAGTATGACAGTCCGTATTAGTATGATGGTTTAGGATATACAGAGTGTTGCACACTTATGTGAGTATTGATCTATGTATGAAACTGATAATCTGATGTTTGTGTTTGAACAGGTTATCTAGTGCATTTGTCTGTTACATGACTAATAGTAAAGACTATCAGATCATCAGCATTTGAGACAAGATGAACAGGCTTGGGGGTGGTGTAAGCAGGAGGTCTGTCATTAGTTTTTTTGTGTTGTTGTTGTTTTGATCAGATCTCAGCTGTGAACTGCACTTGAAGTTGAGGCATAATTTTGTTTGAGTAAGGATTTAATCTAGTGTGATTCCAAGCTTTTCTGCCTCTGCTCTTATTGATTACTGGTTGTTGTTTTTTTCTTGCCTGGTTTTGTAAGGCATCAGAGCAGAACATTCAGTATATCTGATTAGAATTATAATGCATGTTTTACTTAAATAGTTTTTTTTTTCTAGATGAGTTTCCCCTCTTCTACTGCTTTCTGAATTCAATCAAAATTCTAACATATTCGTAAAATAATTTCCTAGATGCTTGTAATAGTGAATACTGCAATCCTGTTGGATGTTTTTAGTCAGAAGATGCAGTTAGAAAGACTGAGGCTGTTGAGCAAATGGATAATCTGTATTGATTTAATTAGCAGATCATTCAAAGAAAAAAATGCCTTTTGATTCTCAACTGTCAACATGAGGTCTAATCACTACTGACTGTGTAAAAAAAAAAAAAAAATCAAGTCAGCACTTTGCATTGTAGACCACTGAGATTTCTGCCATGCTGGTCAGACCTCATGTCATTGCTGACAGGATGGAGACTTGAAGTGTGACAGTAGATACAATGACTGCTCACGGTATCTGTCAAATCAACTGCCTTCTGTTATGACAAAACAACATTTTAATTGTTTAAATGGTTTTTGTTTTTGTGTATTTCAGTTGCTCAGTGTGCAGCCCAGACAGAAGCCCACACCCGCAGGCACCATGATGGAGGGGGGCATGCAGCTGCTCAACCGCGATGGGCACAGCATCTCGCACAACTCCAAGCGCCACTACCATGACTCCTTCGTCTCCATGAATAGGATGCGACAGCGTGGCTTGCTGTGTGACATTGTGCTTCATGTCTCCAACAAAGAAATCAAGGCACATAAAGTGGTGCTGGCATCTTGCAGCCCCTACTTCCATGCAATGTTTACTAGTAAGTTGCATAGATTATCTACTTTAATGCTGCGCAAATATTCTGTTGTGGTTTTGCTTTTTGTTTTTCCTGAATGTAGGACGGGCTCAAACAGACTTTATTTGTTGTTGTAGTTTTGTTTTTTATGTATGAAATGAATTCCTTTTTATTTTTAACTTCTTTACATCACCACCGCTGTGTGTGCCTGAGGTACAGGTGTTCAGACAAGTTGTACGAGCCTCGGACTTTCTCCTGACACCACACTTTGTAAGAAAATGGTGTCATCTGTTTAGGTTTCATCTACTAGACTAGATCTAACTACTGATTTAAAGCATTTTAACCAAAAAAGCTCGTCAGATGTGTTTTGTAAGTTAATGACTGCAGAAACGGTGCATAACTTCTTTGCATAATTCTGCTGGAACCAGGATGGGGAGCGAGTTTAAATTTAAGAATTTGAAAAATGTCACTCAGTTTAAACAACTGATTAAAATGATTAAACTAAATAAACTGACATTTCGCAGCAGCTCTGTGTACATTTGCAGCCGTGTCGGTGTAACTGAACTGGGAGGTGATTTTTATCAGCTGGAGTTTTAATAAGTTGCAACTTGGAGGAAAAAGTTCAACTTCTCTTGTCCGGTCGTGCAGATGAGATGTCTGAGAGTCGACAGACCCACGTGACCCTTCATGACATCGACCCTCAGGCTTTAGAGCAACTGGTCCAGTACGCCTACACAGCAGAGATTGTAGTTGGAGAGGGCAACGTGCAGGTAGGGATGTTTCTGATTTAATAACTCACGTTTTGCCAAATGAAGCAAACTTAATGCTTTTTACATGAAATGACATTCTTCCCAGACATTGCTTCCAGCAGCGAGCCTTCTTCAGCTCAATGGGGTCAGAGATGCATGTTGCAAGTTCCTTCTCAGTCAGCTGGACCCTTCCAACTGCTTGGGCATTCGGGGTTTTGCAGACACACACTCCTGCAGTGACCTGCTCAAGTCTGCACACAAGTACGTGCTGCAGCACTTTGTCGAAGTCTCCAAGACAGAGGAGTTCATGCTCCTGCCGCTAAAACAGGTAGGGACTAATACTGTCTCTGTCTTCAGGCCTTTTCTCAGCAGGGCATGATAAACTAGTGGTCAATTTGTGTAGTGGGAAAATAAATCAAGTTGGTTTTTGCTTACCATAAACTCAACACTTTATGTTTCATCACAATTACATAAGAGCTCATTAAATGGACGCAACTTTGCTGTAACTTCTTCAATTGGTTCTAGTTCTGCCGTTGAACTTGTATTACTTAAAAATATCAACCACTATAAATAATTGATATAAAATTATCGAACCTGCAATAAATAACTTGGACCTTGCTACATTTCCCACACAAATCCTGCATCTTTTAATTCTTCCACTGTGTGACCATTGTCTATTTATCTGGTACTTCATCTTAGCCAAAATATCATTTACTTATCTATGGCTCAACACTCCTGTGCTGATCCTGGAAGTGGTAATTAAGCAAAACACAGCTGTTCTTCTGTTTGTAAAGCAAACAAATGTCCTTTTCCTCTGACATATCAGTAGGGGTTTCTATTTTTGTCTTTAGTATAATGGTCTAAACTTATTTAAGCTGGGGGTTTAGGGAAAGCGTCTATCTATCAATTAGTTCTGTGTATTTTTTCCTACAGGCCTGGAGCTTATAGCAGCTTACAGTGTGTGCTGTTAGTTTGTCTGTCAAATTAGCAGGTGAAGTATCAAGCTGCTCAGCAACCATCTGATCAGACTGGACATTCGATGCTCTTTTCATACTGGACTAAAACTTGATTTGCATTTTGTCCCCAGTGGAAAAGAATAGTATCAGTTCTTGTGCTAACTGAGCATGTCATGGAGAGTTTTTTTGTCTCCAGCTGAAAGATGGAGACGCTGGTGTTATCAAGACTGCATTAATGAAGCAAACCCTGAAATAAGAGTTTTACTGAAAGGATAACTGGTAATTACTCTGTCACACTTTACAGGGTGGACTCCAACAGTTTAGGTAATCATGATTAAAAAAAAAAAAAATTCTCAAAATCCTCTTTAGACTGGTGACCTGTCCAGGACTCAGTTTATGTCTCATTTTGTGAGGCTCCTGTCCCACTACAACAGGAAACATCTTTAATGGGATATAATGTATAACATTATTTTCCTGTTACCAGTAGAAAAGATTAATTCTAGTCAATTTAGCATGTGGAAGTGTTCAGTGTTGTCCTTGAAAGTATGGTACAGTGCCAATGCAGTGAGTCAGGGTTAGGTAAGATTCTTCTGGCAATGAGAACACAGTCAATCCTCTTGATTTAGTTTAGCAGGCGGGTTCAGATTTTTATTTTGTAACAGTTTTGGCATGTGTTATTGTGCTGGTAGGATGGTCTTACAAAGAAAGCTTTTTCATTATAAATTGTGCTTTTTCGTATTTGCTGTGTACTTTACCCTTTAATAATTAGAACAAATCCTCCTCCAGTTCAACATAAACCTACATTTATTCAGGAATGTTTTCTCACTGGAGCCCAATTTGTAAAGAGAAAAGGTTTCTCTGCATTTTGGTCGATGCACAAGATGAAACAATGTTGAGATTCAACAATGACATTTCTTGGCCTAAATTTTATTTTTGTGTTATTTATTCTATTTTTAATCTCGCACAATGTTTTCTCTTTTTAGTATCATCACAATATAGTTAGTTAGTTCATGCCTGGCAGTAATTTGTTGTTTTTAGGTTTAGGACTGCTGCTTCACTGTCATTTTGTAAGGAAGAATTATATTATTTTAAATACAATGACATCCTTTCAGATGCCTGAGTGTTTCAAGGTGATAGTGGTTTAAAAAGTAACAAACATCCACTGCTGTCTCTTTTACAATTCCTAAATATAAAAAATATATAAAAATAAATAAATAAATGTATATTAATAATAATAAAAATGAAAGGCAGGCAGTTCATAGAAGCAAATCACCAAATTTCACGATGTTTCTGGTCTTATAAAAGCTTGTGTGTGTGCTTGTGCAAGCCATTAAATCAGCAGCTTAAGCAAACTGAAGTGCATTCTGGTAGCTTAAAATGCAGTTTTATTTAATTCTATTCTTCTTTCCTTTGGCTTTCAACCTCATTCTGTTTTGAGCCATGCCGTAAATCTGCACCACATCTGAATTTATGTACTGTCTGCGCTAAAGGAGTCTGAGCTTACAGGACTGTGAGATATGCCCCATATTTCCCTTCATCGTCTGTGAGGAAAGTGGAGAGGCGTGACAGGATTGTGACTAGTCAGCGTGGTAGATGTTTCTTTAATGCAGCATGACACGTGTGACATTTTGAAGCACGGTGGCTGCATCATAGTTGCTGTGTGTGGTGCATGAAGACATCAACATGTAGCTTTGTTGTACGTGCTTCCCAGATTTCTGTTGGCATCCTCCAGCACAAGGACAGTTTTCACAAGTGCAAACGGAGCTACTTCTGTCTTCCTCTACATGTATGCACACTTTGGTCTGTTTATTTGATGCAGTATGTTCACTCAGCTGTAGCTTTGACTGCAGGGTGGGGCCGCAGCAGTGTCTCTCTGTGTGACGGTGGATTAGTGGAGGCTGTGGTCCTCTGATGCTGCTAAGTGCTGCCTTGATGTGGCTAGGCAAAATGACCGCGCAGCAGCTGGCTGCTCTGTTCCCTTCCAGCCTCGCCAGCTTAGAGCTGAGCTGGGATCAGTGCCAGGCAGTCTCTCAGACTGCTGCATTTGTTGTACCACAGATATGCACAAGTACTGTAGATAAAAGCGTTTAACAACTATATACAGACCATAATATAAAACAAGACTTTACATGTGCAAATTTATCTTGTTAAGACATGACTGACTGAACTTGAGGGCTGTTTTAAAATGACAAAGCAAAGACGGAGAGAAAGCGGTTTAGCAGAGATTAAATTGAACACATGAACTATGACTTCAGTTAAAGCTGTTGATGTATTTGGTGAAAAACTATTGTAGTTTAGTTTTTGGCTATATTTGAATTAAATGCAGTGAAATATTTTTTTTAAGGTGGTTGATATTTTAGTCTCTGAACAAAAATGGCTGCCTGTTCTTCTTTGTCATGTACATCCAGGTTCTGGATTTGATCTCGAGTGATAATCTAAATGTACCTTCTGAAGAAGAGGTGTACCGAGCCGTGTTGAGCTGGGTGAAACACGATATTGATGGGCGCAGGCAACACGTACCTTGGGTAAGACTATGCTCACCTGTCAGGTTGTCTCAACACACATTGTTCTCTGTTAGCCAGTGTAAAACAGTTTATGCTGTTCTCTTGACCATAACTCACTCCCACACCCCTCCGTGCTTTCAGCTGATGAAGTGTGTGCGGCTGCCGCTGTTGAGGCGAGACTTTCTGATGAGCAACGTTGATACTGAACTGCTGGTGCGTCACCACTCGGAGTGCAAGGATCTACTGATCGAGGCTCTCAAATACCACCTGATGCCTGAGCAGAGGGGAGTCCTAAGCAATAGCCGTACGCGTCCACGACGCTGTGAGGGTGCCAGTCCTGTGCTCTTCGCCGTTGGTCAGTGTGCCCCTGAAGGTACCCATTAGGGTACACTTAGAACACATTTATCTCACGCTTAGCTTACATATTTAAATGTAAAGACTGCTTAATAAAGTTTGTATGGTGTTATATGTTTGGGTCAGGTGGTGGCAGTCTGTTTGCGATTCATGGAGACTGTGAGGCGTACGACACCCGGACGGACCGCTGGCACATGGTGGCATCCATGTCCACAAGACGGGCACGAGTAGGTGTGGCAGCTATTGGGAACAGACTTTATGCTGTTGGAGGGTGAGTAAATAAAAACTATTTTGACCAATTATCATTAATAAGCCACCACCTATTTTTTTTGCCTAATCTGTTGGGGGGGGGGGGTGTTGTTGTTAATATTAATAGCATGCTTGTTGGCGTGTTTGCAGTGCATGCCATATTTCCTCACATAGGATTTTGCCATCATGTTGCTATGATCCATACCTTTTACGTTTTCACTTTTTACTTAAGATATGATGGTACTTCTGACCTTGCAACCGTGGAGTCCTACGATCCCATCACTAATGCCTGGCAACCAGAGGTTTCCATGGGAACAAGACGAAGCTGTTTGGGCGTAGCTGTCCTGCATGGCCTGCTGTACGCTGCTGGAGGTTATGATGGTGCCTCCTGCCTCAACAGGTACACACGGGCGTACATTTTTAAAATAAATACTGAGTATCTCATACTCCATCCATCCATCCATCCATCCATCCATCCATCCATCCAT